AATCACACTGAGCCCCCTAAAACGGTTCCCACCAGAATGGCAAGCTAGAACTCAGCCCACTTAGCCTCCTTCAACACAGCATGCCACAAGGTGAGTCCCATGCCCTCCATTAGTGCCACTTTGATCCCCTTCCCCAGCCTTCCCTAGCCTAATCTGTTGCTCTGCTTTTTGCTTCCTCCTGGGTTTTTCACATGCCACACACACAAGCTACCCATGCCATTTGTGGCACCTATGCTGCAGGTTGCCCATTCCCTGCTCCCCACCACAGATTAATTCCTCTTATTAAAGCACATATTTGCTTGTTACACCTTATCTTCATAATCAGAAGTGTTTTCTGCCTCGGCACAACATCTATTGTTCACAGAGCTGGCAGAGTAATACAAACAAATTCAGATATGATTTCATTAATGAAAATATGCCAACATTCATAGATTCATAGATTAAGGGTCGGAAGGGACCTAGTAGATCTTCTAGCCCGACCCCCCGCCAGGGCGGGAGAACAACAAAAAACCCCAAAAAGAGAAACGGGACTCAAACGAGTCCAGCCAGGTAGGCATCCAGCCTCTTCTTAAAGACCCCCAGGGTAGGGGCCAGCACCACTTCCCTTGGAAGTTGGTTCCAGCTCCTAGCCGCCCTAACTGTGAAGTAGTTTTTGCGGATGTCCAATCTATACCTCCTCTCCATCAGCTTGTGCCCATTACTCCTTGTTATGCCAGCGGGCGCTAGGGGAAACAGCGTCTCCCCCAAACCCTTCTGGTCCCCCCTAGTGAGTCTATAGACAGTCACCAGGTCCCCCCTTAGCCTTCTCTTGTGGAGGCTGAATAGGTTCAGGTCCCGCAGTCTCTCACTGTAGGGTCTGCCCTGTTGTCCCCGGATCATGCAGGTGGCCCTCCTCTGGACCATTGGTTGTGAATATTATTTATAATATTTTTTTTCAGTTCTGTCTGTAAACACCTTGAGTGTCTGCATGCTATTTTCTGCCATATATCTATTTAATAAGTTTTTATAGGAGGGAACCTATGTCCCTGCCTATGCCTCTGGACAGGGGTGGGCAAAATGTGGTCTGTGGGCCGGATGTGGCCCTCCAGGCCATTCTATCCGGCCTGCAGGGCCCCTAAAAATATAGAAAATTATTATTTATCTGCCCCTGGCTGCCTGTCATGTGGTCCTTGATTGCTTGCCAAAACTCAGCAAGCGGTTTTCCACCTGAAATAATTGCCCGCTCCTGCTCTAGGCCAACATGGCTACAACCAATATCTCTGAAACATGGAAGATACCATAGTTAGCCATTTTGAAATGAAAACTTCCCAATGTAAGAAGAAAATAGCAAAATTAAGCATCCTGTCTACCATAGGTCACCTTGAGATAAACAACCAGCTCCAGCCTTTGTTTGAGCCCAGTTTGCATACTCACAGAGCAGCTTTTTTACAAATGAACTTTACTACACAGGAGAACCATACCATCTTCTAGTTCTCCTGTACAACAAGAACAACTTAACAAAAAAGATGCAAAATTCAGTAATCTTCATGCCATTGGACACCCGAGGTAAATAACAGGGTGTGCTTTGTTACTTCTAGGGGCGTGGGCAGCAGGAAAGCAGTTTGCAGCTGGCTATTCTCCCAATCAGGCCCAATTGGGAACAAGGCCCAGCTGTTCACTTAAAGAGCAAGGCCCTGAGCAGCAAAGCCATCAGTCTGCTGCTAGCAGCTGGGATTACACCACCTGGCTGGAGCTGCTGCTCACAACATCTTGTAGGTAAGGGCAGGAGCAATGGGGATGGCTGAAGGCTCCTGGTCCTGGGGCATGACCTAAAATGACACCTTGCTGGGACTGGTTGGTGTGGTGGGACTGCCAGTGGTGGGGCAGTATCGAGGAAATGCCGTACCTGGGGTCTGCACAATGAAGGGTGAGTATGGGACACCAGAAAGCCTCAACCCCTTCTGCCTTGGTGGGTGACTCTATGGAGGGGAAAGGCTAGGGGAGCACACCCCAAAGAACAAAGCAAGAGCCTAGGCTCACTGTAAGCTCTGAGGCAGGGTCCTGGCCAAGTAAAGGTGCCTGAGACAGTACCCAAATGCACTGTGTGTTTTGAGGCTGCATTAAGGAGCTGAGTGTGTGGCTCCAGTTGGGCGGGACCCTGAGCCTGTGAGCAGCTATGCATGAAGCTCCTGGGGAGAGGTGATAAGGGAACTGTAGCCCAGTGTGAGGCAGGGGAGGGCTTGGAGCCCTAAGTTGGGTGGGGGCTTGGAGCCCTGAGCAATGGACAGGAGAAGAGCATAGTGTGAGGCACTGGAGGAATATGGATGCCATCTGTGAGGCATGGGACATGGTATAGGGAAGGTCAGAGCCATGTGTATAAAAGCCCCTGGCATCAGGGCAAGTAAATGGATAGCCTCCCACCTTATTGACATCTTTTAATTGTATCAGCTAAGGTGTGGCAGGTGAAGTAGGCAGGCAGTTTACCCAGAGACAAGTGGGTGGGCCAACGATTGGACTGGCCCTGGGATGCCCACTTGTTACACCTGCTCCAGACTTTGTTTGAGCCTAATTTACATAATCACAGTGCAGCTTTTTTACAAATGAACTTTCCTACCCAGGAGAACCACACTATCTTTTAGTTTTCCTGTACAATATGAAGTTTCATTTCTACCTGGGAGAAATTTTACAAACTTTGAATTTTTCATGGCTGATGAAGAGCGTTTGGGCCCCAAATCTGGTAAACAAACAAACAAACAAACAAATATATATATATATATTTTTTTTTTGCAACTATCTAGTTGGTCTAATAAAAGATATTGCCTCTACCCCAAGAGTTTTGTCTGCTTATAGGAGGGAGCAGCACTTGAATAGATGTGATTCTTTATATGCCCATTGTTCGCTCTGGGGGTGGACATAGCAGAATGGGTTATGCCTGCTGATTCTGTGGCTCATTCTGTGTAAATCTGCACCTGCCTTCAACATATGATACAGCTCAATAGGCTTCCCTTTTATCTGCAGCACCTTCTCCCATTGTCAACATGGCCTTTACTCAGGAATTTCAAGAGAGGTTAATATAGCAGCTAACTATTTTGGTTCTGTATAAGCTTGGGACCTATGTCTTCTGGCCAAAGTCCTAAATATATAATTCAACCCTGCTTTTTCCTATGTCCAGCTAGGCTATTTTGGTCATATCAGGTGACCTCTTATGATAACAAATGGTACAGTAGATAAAAGAATATTAGATTTTGCCAGAGAAGACAGTCTCAGAGATCCACAGAGAGAAAAAGGGAAATGGAGGGGGGGAGGGAGTGAGAGACTCATTTACATTCTCTTCTCTGCACATTTACTGATGTACCCCTGTGATAATGGAATTGTAAGTGGCAATAGGTTAGACAATTTTTCACCTCCAGACCACTGGTTCAATTGACACCCAGGCCACAATTTTCAGGGGATTATAGGAATGCCTTAGTTTAGTGACTGGGGAAATTCAGCAAAGAGACAAAACTATATCTGTTATCCCTAAACTGATCTCTGAAGGAAGATAGATGGAACAGCAGAAACATGTGCTTTTCATACCTGTGTTATGGGTAGAAATAGGAGTTCCCTCTTCACGGCTCTTCACTGACAGACCAGTCCAAAAGCCATATTAGTTCCTGCGTACAATGTTTCATGTGCAAAGGAAAGGGGCAGATTGGGGAAAGGGCAGGGGGAGTTGAAGAGTTGCAGTAATGCCCCCTTTCACTATGTAGTGCATGCACAAGAACTCTCTGCAGCCAAGGGCTCCGGTCTTTGCTTCTGCTCTCCGCCACTGATCACACTACCATGGCAGTGATCATTCTGCCCCAACCCCTTTTCAAAACCTTAGCTCTGCTCCTGGAATTGCCTAACAGCCCTAAACTAGATGATCAGACCCACAACCTATAAAGCCTACTCAAAACTGACACATAACAAGAAGTCGAGCAGAGCAGTTGCAAATTCAAGTGAAACCAACACCGGCCCAATATCTGGCTGTGCAGACAAGAGTATGACCCAACAGGCCTATGGGAAACCTCACACCAGCAGATAATCTATAAGGTCATGAATCCCAGGCATAGCAGAAAAATCCATTCCAAACAAAGCACCAATTCATGCTCTGTGATTTAGAGGTCAATAGATCTTAATCACATGGTTTCCCTGTACTTATCTCCCAGTATACTCATCTAATCATGAATACCACATGGCAACATGTGACAAAACTCAGTCACAAATCATAAACTGATACAGTGGGAAAATGAAAAATGTTGTGATTCTTTTTTAAAATCAAGAGTAGTTGTTTAATTTAGCCACTATTTTGATTGAATGTTCATCAATCTTGAGAAATGTTAAAGGACTCCACATATTTTTATGAAATATTGCTGAAATCATTCATTTTCTTTGAAGCAGTACTTTATGATGAAACTGCACTCTTCATCTGAAAATGTTCAACCAGCTCAATCTCTTAATATGTTTTCTATGCATTTCTATGCATTTTTTCTCAGGTACAGGACAATCAAATCTTGTATTTCAAGGCATAAACTGATCAGCAGAAAAGTAAAAAAAAAAACCTCTTCATTTTGCAGCATTATACATTTGGCTGGATTCATTATGCTATTTGTTTTTCTCATTTCTGAAGCATCTGCTATTCACTATTGCCAGAAATAGGATAATGGCCAGAATAAACCAATAGCCTGAACTAGTGAATCCAATGTTCCAGGCTTCATACAAAACAAGTAAAGGTCAGTGTTTACATGAACACAGAGCCACGTGTCACTGCTAAACCAAACCTGTGGCCTGATCCTTCTCCTACTGAGGTCAATGGAAATTTCTCCCCAAATTTCCATGGGAGCAGGACCAGGGCAAGATGCAGGATACCAGAATACCATGAAATGCTAAGAATGGGATGGGAGCCAGACCAGAAGTTTTCCAATAAATAAGAGCATTATGCATTCTTAGCATTTTTCTCAATTGCCTTTTTCAGACCTAAATTAAACCATTTGACTTACCAGTAAGTTTAGGTCAACAGGTTACTCGTAAGTTCTGTCCTCAGAGCTTCTGGACAAGCCCACTGTGATTATCCCTTAGGCTTCTCCTGAAGGGCTGCACTGAAAAATGAGAGTAACAAGGTATGCTCCTCTGCCTTCAGGCTACTAAAGCAGCACACAACACTGTAGCAATATAATGTTATGTTTAGGAAATCTCTATGGTGGGTCATGAATAAGATTGTTTCTTTTTCTCCCCTGCCTTCCTTCTGGTGTGCGGGGAATGCCTGGCACCAAGAGACAAAACAAGGAGATTGAGAGGAGGGGGAATGGCAGCATGACTCAGTTTTAGGTGGAAGGATTTTCTTATTAGTTTTCTCTCTCCTGAGATATCTGGAAGGAGAATGAATTAAATCCCCAAATAACTGTCCTAAGGACCTTATTTTCTGACAAGCATATCTGGAGGCAAAAAAGAATAAGCAAGGGCATGAACCAAGTTTTGATATGATCGCAAAGGATGTGTGATCCTTTGTGGAAAAAAAAGTAAAAACCAAGAAACCTGGAAGCTGTAAGGCTTGTTTGTCAAAACTTTACAAGCCCCAAGCCATGGATGATGCCGTCAGATCTACCTGTTCGATCTCTGAAATAGGAACAGACCACTTTTCCAAATCTCAGGTACAGCAAAATCCTAGAAACAAAGAAGAGACTCAGATCCACCTCTCCTGGCTTGGGAGCACTCTCTACAGTTGTGGAAGTGTGCAAGACTCTCATAGCTCTTAATATACACAATCAGGAAGCATCTAATATTAAGTTACCAGCGGCAGCCTTCCTGTTACATATTGTTGGACTGTGTTTGTGACATGTGACATTTTCTAAATCATGTTAGGGATAATTCATCATGTAAGCATCTTTTGGTTTATACTTTAATATCAGGATCTTTTAGCACAAACACAAATATGTTTCAGATTATGACGTTAGGAATATGATCAGCATACTTTCCAGGGGAAATATTACTAGAGAATCAGCTGTATTCTACAGCCTAGCACAAGGTACGAGGAATTAACAAATCCAGCCTGGAGGTCTGAATATAGAGTTAGCTACTGCCTGAACATTTTGCTTTTCAACAGTTTATGTTCAAGAAGTGCCTTTCTGCCAGCCCTTCATGATCCACAGGTCTGATTGTGTATATTTGTGTATATTTTTCTATGGAAAAGCAATGCCCAGTAGCATTCATCATGCCCAATAGGCCCCATAAAATATTTGTATAAGATAATATTTTTTCATGCCCTCTGAAAAAGGATGTTATAGAATTATGGTAGTGGTCCTATAGTTGGGGGGGAAGATCAATTTGAAGCCTGCTACCTATGCCCCTCCAAAACAGACCACTCTGCCTTGAATTTTGCATGCTACCATCTGAAGGTACAGATTTTCTTTGAGATCTGTTAAAAGTCAAAGTGATTTTTTTAAAGCTAAGGTAATTTGAAAATGTTTTTGTAGCGTCCTTACTTGCAGTGACTTCATTTACTTCACATGTATGGTTCATTTTACCTCCAAATGGCCTTGGCCTAACCCAATATGTATTGCTTTGTTGGGCATGCTAAGAAAAACGGCTTTTGAATTCTTGAGAGAAGCTTAGTGGGATAAAGGGAGTTTAATATAAAAAGCGATTTTAAGTATATCTACATTAAGAATAGCCCTTACACAAATTAATACATATAAACAAATTGCTTCTTGACTGGATTTAGTTCATATGACAGAATGGGAGAACAATGGAAATCTTGTGAGGTCATAGGGGATCCAGACAGGCAATAGACCAGAAGGAGCATGGAGTGGGAATAGTGGATTATAGAGCCCACAGTGGACTTTCAGTGAACCAAGCTCCACAGTCTTAGAATCAGGATGAGTTCTCTTGGGAGACGCAGAAGGATGGTTTGGACTCTCGTGAGGGTGTCCAACATTGGCAGCATGAAGAAACATAGAGAGGATGCCAGAAAGTTAGCTGAACAGAAAGGGGTTGTCAAAGCAGTGCTGAGAACTGAATAAGGGCCTTGTTACACATTGTACTTTGAGAGCTCAGAAGCTGATCTGTGTTAGAGCTAGCTTGAGTTTGAAGCAGTCACACCTTAAAGCTAAAAAACCTTCTCTGACTGTCCCCAACTGCACAGGTGGACTTGTCACTAAAGGGCTGGTGAGCAGTGGCCTGACTAGGAGCTACAGCTGTGAGTTGCCACTCCCGGGCTGGTGAACCAGGAGAGGCTCCTGTCCCTCCTCTAAGTAGGAGTGTATGAAAGATGGTTTGGCTAGGAGAGGAGAGGCAGGAACATGAAGCTGTGAGGTGGAAAGGTAATGGGAAGTGGAAAGGAAATGGGAAGGGTGGTGAAATGAAAGAAGTCAGCCATTGAAGGATAAAATAAAAAGCAGTTAAAAAAAAGTATTTAAAAAGAAAAAAGAGGAAGCAAATTAAAGAAGGTTGCACGTTTTAATAAACTAGGTTTTGGAATTGGGGCGTGGGGGTGGTGGTCACGCTTCCTGGGATGGGTAGGAAGTGAAAGCAGTGGGGGAAGGTGCTTTTGGCAGAGCTACTTCCCCTGCCCTGGGAAAGAAGCCCCATCTCATAGGGACCTTGTCTAGCCCCCTATCTTGTCTCCCCTGCACCTTGCCCAGACCCCACTCCTGGACCCATGCATGCCCTGCAGCCTGGCTATCTGGCCTCTGCTCTGTAGGCTGTTTGCACAGGGTTTCACCCCTGGGGGTGGGAAGGTTATGCCACTGGAGGGGGCAGAAGGGGGAGTTGGCTTGCTGCCAGAACCACCCCCTAGGCAGTAGAGTTCAAGAGGTGGAAAGTTTGTCCACACAGACCAGGAGGATGGGGGAGGAAATACTGCATACTGGAATGCTGGAGGACTGCATCTGGGTCAACTCATCTGTGGGGAGTAGCCACACATTAATGGAGCACAAGTTGAATAACACAGATCAGACACAAACCTGCCCTGGAGTGGCTTAACTTTAAGCCACCTAAAGTATGCATAAAACTAGTCTCTGGCATTAATGTGTGGACAATCCAGCGATTCCGAGCTCCAGAAGCTGCCTAAAATCAATTTATAACAAGGCCCAAAGGCAAACTACCTGGTTGGTCTGCTTAGTCCAAATTAGCCAACATAGCTCAAATAGTAAAAACCAAAGAGCCAATGGAAAAGTATCAAAAGGTGGCAAATTATAAATGATATGGTTATGGCAAGGACAGGTAATATATTATTTAACTCTTGTCCATACCTACAGGAGGCAAAGCTAAATGCATTGACTTCAGGGGGATCAACAGCAGCAGATCAGAGAAAAGACATCAGTCCATAATTATAAGTGAAAATATGTTGTACATAAGTAAGCCAGGGCTGGACAAGCCTGGTTTCCTGGTTGTTTAATTAGGAAAATAAGTGAAGGCATCCTGCTGTAGAGAGACAACTGGGCTGCAGACTGTGACACTGCCATAGCCCTAGCTCAGTGTCTCTCTAGCCTTAAGCTAAATTGATCCTGAGCATTTTGACCTTAGCTAATTGCATACTGTTTCCTGTGATGCTGAGGAGCTACTTCTACTCATTACTGCAGTTCAGCTTCCCAAAAAATTAAGCACAAGATTGCTAAACTTTATCCCCACCTTCCCTCTCTCCCCTCCATTACAAAAAGGCTGGCTGGATGCTTTGTCATTTGGGTATTTTGTTCCTAGGCATGGGTGCCTTATCACCTTTCAGAAGAAGAGAAATACACTAACTTGTGAGGAAAATATCAGGACACTAGACAGCAAAGAGAACCTCAATATAAGATCCTTTCTGGAGAAAAGCACTTCTATCAGGCAGGCTATGCAAATATCACCATCAGATCTGAGAAGCCAAGACAGCACTTGAGCAGCAATATATTTTTAAATTGGGAGCAAAAAATGAATATAAGGAGTCATTTGCAGATAATTATATGCAAACAAATTTAAATTGTATAGGTAAACCAAATTAAAACCAACTTCTCTAGTTAGTATCTTGACACTGATTACTATAAAATATAACATTGCACAGACAAAAGGATTTGTGTTTTAGGTACCTAAAAACTGTGAGGGGAATGAGATATTTTTATTATCCTAATGGAAAGGTCAACTAAATCCTTCACCAAAATTGTATCAAGTATAATGGCTTCATTGGGCCATTTTATTAGTTTATTAAGTGAAATTAAAAAAAATCTCTTCAAAAAAGGGACCTTCAATGAATTATAACCAGCTTGCTGAATAACAAATATACTATGCATGAGAAAATTAGCTCCATCTGACATGCACAGCCACCATATGTAAAATGCCCATTATTTGTCTGTCCCTTTGAAAATCATTTTATTGGAATGTATCAGTTAAACTAAAACACATGACCCTCCTTCTTGTGACATGAAAGAAACCACTGAAGAGAAGTTTCTTTTTTTCCCCTACTCATGTGAACTTTCTGGGAAAATAGCAGCTTCAAGGATTTTTATCAGTGTCTGTGTAATGACAAGTGCATCACATGCATCCTGAGCCATTAGCTGTCTACATCCGAAAGAATTTGGTCAACATTTAGGAATTCACTTAATGAAAAGCTGGTCTATTAAAGGCCTGCTTGCTTTGGAAGTTGATTGAGCCTTTCTTTCCAGCTTCCTGCATCATTGTAAATGATGCTATGCAGTACACTCATGTGATACAGCCTACATAACAGGCTAGCATTGTAACACCAAACCATCCAAACACCAGGTGATACATTTCTACTCTTAGTCGGGTTACAATTGGCTCTGAACTCTGCTGCATAGTGCACAATTCTCTGCAAATTCCTTCATAAAATCATTTTTTTAATGAAATGTTTTCTTTTCTTTTTTTTTAAGAAAGGGACAAAACTACATTCATGTATCTACATAATGCTTTAGCTAAAGATTAAATCAATCAAAAGCAAAGAGTTAACTGACCAAATTTCCTCTGTTCTTTCTGCACAACTCTACTGAAATCAACTGAGACCAGAATTAGGCCCATTAACTCCTAGCTTTTAATATTTAGCTGAAGCATGATTTTTTTTTATGACTCAACACTCCTGATATTTCTATTATGGATCAGCATGAAGTAGACTGCAATAGCAAAGGACTCTGTGTTATGTAGGCATTGATGCTTTATGACACCTGTTGATTAATGTCAAAGGTTATTTCCTC